AAAAAAATAATAATAATAATAATAATAATTGAGAAAACTTAGATATACAAAAGATAAAAATTCATAAAATTAGAAGAACAAGTTTTCATGTTGCAAAAGGTTCTTCTATCTTGACGAATAGTCAAGGTTCCAGGCTCGTCGCGTGTATCTATCCTATCTACCTACGTACACACTTATATACACACATATATACACACACACATATATATATATATATATATATACTATTATAATTCAACGAAGCTTGCTGGCAATGAGGAGGCTCGGCCCTGACCGATCGTAGCTGTTGCATCGACTGCAAACGTTTCACGTTCGTCGTCATTACTCTTCTACTATCTTTGCCAAGATATATACACACATACACACCCATACACACACATATATAACTTTTTTTCTATCCTTTCTTATTAACTTTTATTTCTTCTTCTTCTTCTTCTTCTTCTTCTTCTTTTCTCTTTCTCAATCCTTTCCTTTCCTTTCCTTTCTTTCATTATTTCTTTCTTATTTTCTTTTCTTTATTCATCCAACTAATATTATTTTCTAATCACTTTTTTTTTTTCTTTTCATTTAATCTCATTACAAAACAATACACAAAAGTTTCAATATCGTATACAGTATGACATAAGAGTTGTCGTCGTTGTCGTGGGTACGAGCCAAGGATGTAAACACGCCACAGATGATTTTTGTTATTTCGTAAGGAGAAATAGAAAGAGGTAAGGGAGGAGGAGGAGGAGAAGGAGGAGGAGGAGATGAGCTGCAAAAGTTTAACCAGTCGAGCCTTGAGGAGGTATTATCGCGCAACCAAAAGATAATTTTAGCATCAACTATAACACGACGGCTAACTAAACTAAAATAGTTCAGTTGCTCGAAAGGAACCCCCCTACCCCCTCCCCTCCTTCCACCTCTTTCCCTATTCATCTGTATCCGATAGGATCCGATTATTTCAAATATCATTGTGTGTGTGTGTGTGTTTTTGTTTTTTGTTTTTTTTTTTATTCGAGAGATATGAAGTTGAATTGAGAGTTGAGTTAAGTTGAGTAATTTTTATATTTTATTACTTATATTTATTTAATTAATATTTATGTTATTTTGATCATTTTTTATATATATATATATATATTTTTTTTTTTATTTTTTATTTCCAGATCAGAGCGAAAGTTGACCGAGATCCGGTCGAGATTGATCTGAGTTCCTGCGAGACCTTCGAAAACGAACAGGTAAGAGTATTATTATATTTATTTAATATTATGTATTCATTCATTATTATGAATTAATAATAATAATAATAATAATAATAATAATAATATTATGGATTTATAACGATTTGTTTTCATCTAAGGAAAAATGCAGCTATTGCAAGATTTTTCAAATTTACAATTAGATCTTTTTTTTTTCTTTCTAATCGAACGTTATGTGTTTTACACGTGTTTTAACATTTAAATCTAATTTTTGGTTGTTGTTGTTTGTTCTTTTCACACAATTGAACACTTTGTTGTTGAGCAGCTATTTTTTTTTTATTTTTTTTTTTGAATTTATCTCACGTGACAATTTGTGTAAAATAATTAAATAAAAATTGGATAAATGGATAGAAAAAAGACAAAAAAGAAAAAAAAAAGAAAAAAAAGGAAAAGGGGTATTGCACGTGAGAAAGAATATCGACGTTTCCGATTGCAAAATTTTCTCCTACTTTTATTCGACATCCGCTCCGTTTTGCGGCGAAGGTCGGATGCCTTTCTAAGTTTCTAGGTTTCCAGTATATACAGTACGTCACATAAACTCTTTTCTCGAGATAGATACATTGAAAGAAAGAAAGAAGGAAAGAAAGAAAGAGAAGAAGAGAGAGAGAGAGAGAGAGATAGAGAGGGGAGGGAAGTGGGTAGTGAAAGATTATCGCATTTAGTCGACCGATAAGACCATATCTCGACATCTTTTTCGATTACACACAGTTTCTCGATTCATATACCGTAATAAACTTCCTTTTTCCTATTAAATGATGGTATAATAATAATAAATTAATATATTATGATTTATCTTTCATTTACTTTTACATATTATTTGATTTTTATTTTTATTTTTAGTTGTATTTTTATTTGTATTTTATTTTTATTTGATTTTATTTTTATTATATTTTTATTTGATTTTATTTTTATTTGATTTGATTTTATTTTTATTATATTTTTATTTGATTTTATTTTTATTTGATTTGATTTTATTTTTATTNTTATTTTTTTTTTTTTTTTTATTTTATTTGATTGTATTTTAATTTTATTTTATTTTTATTTTTTTTTTTATTTTATTTGATTGTATTTTAATTTTATTTTAATTTTATTTTATTTTTATTTTATTTTTAGTTTCATTTTTTTTCATTTTTTTTTTTTTTTGATTTTATTTGATTTTATTTTTATTATATTTTTATTTGATTTTATTTTAATTTTATTTTTATTTTACGTACGATTTTTTGTTTTGTTTTACATTTCACAGTTAATTTCACAATATTAGTAATATATGTATTCGTATTTTTTTCCAATCATTATTTATTTATATATTTTGCCTTTTTCTTCTAAATACCAGACTAACTACTATCTACCATGATTTCTTATTTTTTTTTATTTTTTGTTTTTTATTAAATGGATCATTTAATGTATAAATATTACTATTTATTTCTCATTGATTTATTTTCTTTTTTAATATAACCAGTAGAATTATCCCTCTAAATGTTTCACATTCTTAATACGATTTTATTTGTTTGCAAAATAGATTTGTAATTTTTTTTGTTTTGTTCTGAATATCTGACAAACTAAATGCAACGATTAAATATTTATATTTATTTCTCATTTATTTTATTTATTTTATTTCGAATAGTAAATATACGAACACACATACTTGTCTTACACATTTACGTAAAATAATTTAATGTGTTCCTGTAATTTAAAAAAAAAAAAAAACAAAAAAAAAACATTCACATATATTTCGTATTAATTATTATACTTATTATTAATTTATTGTTTATCTTGTTTCCCTTCAAATACGAAATAATATTTGTTTAATATAATTAATATAATTTTATTCAATTATATTATGCACAAAAATGTGTGATATAGTTTAACGTTAAAACATAGATTGTATATAAAACACACAAACATAGACATATAATATATAATTTACGTATGACGTTGTTTGTCCGCAATGGACTCCTAAATTACTGAACTGATTTGAATCAAATTTTGCACACTATGTGCAATTTCATCCAACTTGAAAGATAGGATAGTTAATATCACAATTTATAATCGCAATATTATTTTATTAACAAATAGTCATGATTATATCTGTTAGTTCGATAAGATTCTAACAGATGGTGGTATAAGGTAATTCGTTTACTTAAAAACGTGTGTATCATAAAAATACGTATTCGTTCTCTAGTTTATATACACCATGTATGTGTATGTAAATCATCGTTTGTCTGTCTGTCCAAATGTACCCTTTTTTTATACAACTAATCTCGTATTACAACAGGATAGGAGGAGTAATTTTTTATTAGGTACAAATTAGAGTTTTGTCGAATTTTTGTTAACGTTAATCTGACGTTGAGGGGCCCCTACGTTCGAAAGCAGCTCATTACAGCAATGTCTGTCTGTAATTAGAGAGTGTTCTCGTAAAGACCAGTTTTTTTTTACGATCTACCCGATGATGATGATGATGATGATAATAATAATGAACTTAAATATTTCGTGCCAATTTCTCGTATCACTTTAACGAAACGTAGTTTTTTTTTTATTTTTTATTTTTTTTTATTTTCGAAGTTTGTCCGATTACGTTGTTTCGAATTTTTGTCAGAAATTTAATTACCAAAAAAAAAAAAAAAATAAATAAATAAATAAATATATTTGTGTTATATTATGCGTGTGAGAAAGTATTTAAAAAAAAAAGAAAAAAAAAAACAAATAAAAAAAGTAAGGATTTAATCGAAAGGTGAAAATTTTCGAAACTCGATGGAAAGTTAAAAAAAAAAAAACTCGTAGCATGTCTTTTTGCTTTTTAATCAAAAATGTGTTCCCGCATAGTAACCGAGATAAGCTTTTGGTTTTGCAGGACTTGATACTTGATTACTTGAATTATTATTACTATAATATTTTTAGTATTTTTTTTTGTTTGTTTTTTTTTTCTTTCTATGCATGTATGCTTTTTTTCCTTTCCTTATTTTTTATTCAATTATTAATGTATAATTTGTAATCTGTAAAACCAAAATTATCATACAATCATATATACACGCATCTGATTTATTCTTATTAAAATTCTAATCATTTTTCTATTGGTATCAAATGATGAAAATTTTGTTTTTTTTTTTTATTTATATTTGAAATAAAAATAAATATTATAAAAATAGAAAGAAAAAAAAAAATTGTCTTCCAATTGTCACAAATAATTCTAATAAAAATTCAAAGAGATTTATCGCAGATTTAAAATTGGAATTTTTATCATTTTCAATTTTTCTTGTCCCTTGTTTAAATTTGTGATAATTATTGTACCTTGACAAAACTGTATATATATATATATTTAAAAAAAATTCTAATCGGTGTGATTTCTCTATCGATAACAGGGTGATAAAAAAAAAAAAAAAAAAGACAAAGATATCACAAATAGTTACCTCTTTCTTGTTTTAATCTTTTTCATTGGGGATCTCAAAGTAATCGAATTGAAAAAGAATAATAGTCATGGAGGAGTAGGAGTAAGAGGAGGAGGAGGAGGAGGAGGAGGAGGAGGTGGTAATATCATTCTGGTATCGGTGTCCCTGACGGAGAAGCTTGTTGGGTGGACGGAAGAGGGGAAAGGGTTAGGCCAGGAAGTATCACCGTAGTTGCCGCCGTGAAACAACCGCGATGTTTCCTTCCCTCCGGCCCTCCCCCCCCCCTCCTCCTCTACTTTATTCACACGATGTATAGAATATTGTTAGAAAAAAAAAAAAAAACGATATTAAAAACATTTCTTATTGATACACACGAATGCACAACTTATTTATGTGTTTGTATCGCAATAAATAAATAAAAAAAAAATGATGAAACATTTCTTTTCTACATTTTCAGATTGGTACATGTTTTGTATCAATAAGAATTATTCGTAATATATTTTGTAAATTATATTAAACTAGGGGTGCCTTATACCGCTATCTGTTAGAATCTTATCGAACTAACAGACATAATCATGACTATTTGTTAATAAAATAATATTGCGATTATAAATTGAGATATTAACTATCCTGTCTTTCAAATTAAATGAAACTGCACAGAGTATGTCAAATTTTATTCAAATCGGTTCAGTAATTTAGAAGTCCATTGCGGACAAACAACGTGACACTGAATTTATATATATATTAAGAAGATATATATTAAGATATAGATAATATTAAGATATTTAGATATAGATATATATTTAGATATATACAATAACGTTCCCTAATAGCACAAAATATTGAAAAATATTGAATACGTGTGTGTTTAATATTAAAAAGAGATTATCTATCTTCAGATAGATTTTCTAGGGAGATTTACACTTAAACCTAAAAAAAAAAATAGAAAATTTTAATTGATGCGAGATTTCAAAAGCATCCAATGTTACCTTACAAACGTTCTATATCTAAATACATCGTTGTTTGATTAGCCTCGACATACGTAGGATACATAGATTAGAGATTAGAAGGTGGGAGAAGGGAGGAGGAGGGGAGGGGATGGAGGGGGATGGAAGGGGGAGGCAAAAGTACGCGTGTCGAAGCACGTGTAATTTCAACTGCAATTATCGAACCGACTCTAGCATTGCGTTTTGTTACGCTCGATCGGTTCGATTACGCGATCCGTTCGATCATTTACTTTGTCATGACGAGTTAGATAAAGCTTTGACTGACAGATAATGAAAGATAAAGAGAGATAGATGATAGATAAATAAAGAGAAATGACAAACATCTATGTTTCTATCGCCCCGTTCATTAGAGTTTCATTCGAAACCTCGAATTGTTGAACTCAAATTAATGTGTGTCGTTAAATTGTAAATATAACAATGAATATCATTTTATTCACTTGCTGGATAGTTCATCAAAATCTATTTAATGAAAGTGAAATACGTGAGGATTAGTTTCAATACTGAATTAAAATAATGATTAATAGAATTTTTATGTTTTTGGGATTTGTTTTGTTTTGTTTTGTTTTGTTTAATGTAATATCTATGA